TGAAACCTAAAATGATTTTATAGAAGAATACTTTTACTCTTCGCTAATTGAAAACGCGTAAATAGAAAAATTAATAGAAATTTAATTTTTATTATTAATTTCACTTTAACCTACTGTACGCTTAAAGCTATGGACATTAGTTAAATCCAAAATACCCCAAAGGTGTTAACGATATCGCCAATGTGTGTAACATCCCAGAAATGTATCAATAATAAATAGCCAATGACGGAAGACATGGTCTGCCCAACATCAGGGCACCATGGCGTATAATCAACTTTATCGGCAAGCAGTGGGAAATGAGCAAAAAAACGAAGCTCATATTGATAAAAGAGTATATATGCAGATGGAAATTATTGTGTATAGGTAGGTGATGGCAACCAAAAAAAAAGAAACCACTTTGTGGCTAATAGCAAAAATAAATTCTTACCTACGCTGATAGCCGCGGCTGGCCAGATAGTCGAATGGAGAGCAGCTTCACAATAGCTTGCCAAAGGTGCGATTTTATTTATTGTCCTAATTCCAGGCAGGCCACACACCGATCGAAGCTGGTCAATTTTATTTCGTATTTTCGTTTTTATTACGTTTTTTTTTTATTTACTTATTTTTTTTTGTATTTATTGCCCCTTGACTTCTTCGCATTGTTGTGAATTTGCGATTGTCCACGCGTCGCATTGGCGCGCCGTTCAATAAATGATTGCTGACATTTTCTTCACATTAACAAATTAATGTTGGCTTTCAATTAATTTACGCTGTCATTTGTCGTTGTAATTTATGCAGGTAATTCAATTAGTTTGTTGCTTTTCGGCTTGCTCTTAAGCATGTGTGTGTGTATATGTATTTATATGTGTATGTACCACACAACAAATGCTACCAGCATTACAAGAGTGAAGAGTAAAACGGGGTTTATTGAGTTGTAATATGAGCAATTGTAATTTAGCTTGCGGTTGGGTAGGATGAATGTTAAGTTCAAGGATATTGTTTGCGTATAACATATACATACATATATACATAGGCAAGCACCCGATAATAATATTGTAGTAATATTTTATAAGGAGCGAGATAAGTTATGTATTTCGGAAGAGCACTGCTTTACCACACTCTTATCAATTTTAGTTGGTTAACTGGCTATTGAGTTTCCACGTCGTGATACTTATTGTGCGCCAGTGTGTTCTCTCACATTTCTAGATGTGCAAACTATTTGCGCCAAAGCATAACAGAAGTGGATGGTGACTCATGTAATTACCTGTCTCTAACTCTCTTATACTATGCTTATGCAGCTGCTATAGAAACACTTAGAGAAGTACACCAGGCTTCATTCACGACTCTCCAACAGGTCTTACGCTGGTTGTTATGCTCATGTAGATCTTGTAAAGAAAGAGCAGAGCTCTCTGACCAGATACCGCCATCAGCTTTTGGCCTTGCTGGTGCAGACCGATGTAAGCACGGACTTTTCCGAAGAGATTAAGATATGTCTACATAGTGTTCAGAGTTAACTGTTGCCTGTCACTTAGCTCGTCGTCTTTGCAACACTTTGCGACGTCTCTGTTTCCACTCGAACTACGTAAGTTTCGCATGCAATCTGGAGTTTATTTAAAACTTCTCGGCACTATACACAGGAACTGCTATGTAAGCTGACCAAACGCAACACTAAAAGCTTCGTCAAGACCGGAAAGGACCTCTCCGCCCCATTCGATACCAAACGAGGTCAGGCTGCTACTTTGCACTGGGTAGGCAATTGAAAAGAGAAGACCGCTCTTTACGAACGAAAACCAAACTCAACAAGACGCTCTTCAAACCCGTTCAGCTGTATCGTCGATGACAGCATCTGATGGGCGGCCTTGGGAGTTTTCGAAAGAAAGATTTTTGCGTAAGATTTATGGTCCCCCTAAGAGTTGGGAATGATGAGCTGTATGCGATATACGCCGACCGGCTATGCTGGTGAGCTCACGTGGTCCGCATGAAAAAGAAAACTCTACCTTTAACAGTTTTTGAGGCAGTACCCGCCGGTGGGTACAGAGGAAGCGGGAGATCTCCACTTCAGTGGAAAGCCCAGGTAGAGAAGGACCTGGCTGTACTTGGTATATCGATTTGGCGCTAAATAGAATGCAAACGAATTGAATGCCGTGTTGTTGTTAACTCGGCTGTAAACGCGAAAGGGGTGTTTTGGCCAACGAAGTAAATAAAGTAAGGTGCCTAAATCAATGAAGAAGAAGACAACACAGGTTCATACCCTTAAATCTAGGTCTTCAAGTCATATACAGGGGTGGACATCCAAAGTGTGGTATCTCGTTCGAGGTTTTCGATATATTTTTTTCTAAAATATAAACGAATGACATGGAAACGAAAATGTTTATTATATTATTTTTCGACTGAATTTTTCTCGGCTGAAGACGCCATAAGACCCCAGCATTAATACAAAATCATCTTATTTCATAAACTCATTTCTCTTTCCACTCAATTATAATCAAAATAAAGGTAATTACGGAAGTTATTTTACTCTATTATTCTAACTTTCCGCCCAACCCCACATAACTGAGACGATATTTTTTCAAATAATTTTGAAATTTTGTATACAAAGCTTTCATTTATTACAAACTATGCATAAATTATAGCAAGAAGAATCCCATTAATTTGGAAATTTACAACGTTTTTAAGTGTGCGGAATTAAAATTGGAAAATTGATGGCCAACCGAGCATTTGCGCTACACATACATGCATGCATGCATACACCAATACCTAAAAAGAGCAACATTAGCACCTTTCACAGTTCAATTGAAAACAAACACAACAAACTAGCAACTAAAATAATATATGTATGTTAACATAACCAAAATTAAACATATATGTGCATATACGTACATACATATGCACATAAATATATTATCTGGCGCCCTAATAAATTCACAAATAGAGGCATTTGTATGTATTTATGCAAGCAAGCTACGTTGTCTGGCCCAGTGAACCACAAAAATTCAATTGAACTCACAATTTACCAAGGCTGCGCTGCATTGCTTGCTTACTGAGCGGTGGGTGGCGAATGGGGAATGGGGAATGGGGAGTCAGTGGAGGTTAGTCATACATTTTTGGCATAAATATGCAATTTTATTCCGCGTACATAAGCAGACTGTGAGGCATACTTGTAATGTAAACATATGTGCATATTAGGTGCAGTAAGAAGAAATCCATTATTTTTGCGTGAAATTGCAGTTTTTACTTTTCGTATCCAGCCCTATACAAATGGTTCCAAACGGTTTTTTGTGCACTTTTCAGCTCTTAGGCAATCGAAACTGTGCTTATATCGCCGAGTCTAATAGTTTTTGGTCCCTTTTGTCTATAAATTTAGCGGGTCTGCAGATAGATTGCCAATAGAAAATGGTGGTTTGCCAACCATTCCATGGTAGGAGATTCGTCCTGGAAAATCGGTCGTGGTTGAAGACATGCACGACTCAAAGTTGGAACTGTCATCACCAGCTTATGTCTCTTATCGAACATTGAAACCACATCTGAAAAGAGTGCTCCCTCACTTCTCACCTGAAACTAGTGGAACCTGAAAAACACTTGCGAGAGGGATGTCTTGTCAGACAGAGCGACACTTCGTATTGTGAAAGCTCTATTGATTTCGGCTTTCAATGCACAAGACACATTTTTTGACACTATTTGCAGGATTATTTCCTTCCATAGAGTTCTGTGTGACTTTTTGGGTGTTCGTTAACTAAAAACCTCGCTGGTATTTTCAAACATGTAGCCGAACTTCTCGCATCAATCGATCTTTCTCTAACAAAGACGCCAAAACATTAATCATTAGAAAGTCATTCAACGACGCACCTAAAAATCCTGTGCTCAGATAGCATTCTTCAGCTGGGTTTTCCAGCATCTATAATAGCCATCACATTTCGGCTCTTCATTACAGGTTTTTAGCTGCTGCGTTGAACACTTTGCTTTCATTTTCGAAGCCGTTGGTCGTACACTGGCTCCCGCAGAAGTTATTTTGTGGTAGAAGTCGATTTTCTGGTGTAGTTGCCAGTCTCCGTATGCTTTGCACCCTTTTTAGTTCTTCGATCACTGTCTACCAGAACCGAAACCTTGATCGTGAACCGTGTTAGAGCTAAGCGCCCTTACATAACTGAAGCTAAGCGTGAATTTCCACATTTATGAGTACTACCTTGGATATATAAGCTAACGTTCTCACAGTTAGACTTTTCGCCAAAAAATGCTACGCTGGTGATATGCTTAAGAATGGTTATCATCATCCACTTGAGTTCTGAAATTTTTGCTGAGAGACAATTGAGGGGGCCCATCAAACTTCTCTTCTTCCTATACGCGGACTTAGATCTTGCTGTGACGGTGTTTGGTGTACGTACTTAATCTTCATATATGATTTTTTATGCATAATTGTACGGATATAAAAATAAACATGACGATTACTGGGCATAAAAATACACCTTACATACACCCACGTCCCTCCATATTTACACACACATTTTGTGCTTGTATTGTTTGGCTTCTTCGCTTGTCACCAGCAAGCGTATTGTAGTCTTTGTAGTAGAGCAAAAGCAAGAAAGAGTAGATATAAAAATGAGATTCAACAAAAAACTGCAACGTCAACTTACGCAACGAAAAATAACAAAAGTGAAAAGGATAAAGGATATTAATGAAGACTGTCGCTGCTGATTAGTATGACAAAAGCGAAGCGGCAACGGAAGGCTGATGTGAAGAAAAAAAAATGTGTGTGTGAATAAAGTGAAAGACAAAAGGAGAATGTGAAGCAGCAGAAAAATAAATATATAGAACAAATCAAAATTTGAGACACACAGTATACAGAAATGCGTTCTTCAAAGAATGCTTTTGTTGATTTCATATGAAAGGTTTTACTGCCTTTTGTCGCCAAATACAATGTAAACCGCCTCCCTAGACAAACATTTTTTTACCTAAATTCACATGCACACGCTTCCGAGTATACACACTCTTCTAACACATGCATTTTACATTTCGATACTTACATTTAGCACTGCAGTCTTTCATTCTAATTTGGGATTCAATGCAGCCCCGGGCCTGCCATTTCGTACGTGCCATTCCGGCTGGTGCTTTCAAATTCAATTCGCTCGGAATGGAATGTAAAATTTGCTCCGTAGCACAACGCAAAGCAGCACTAAAATACAAATAAAAATGAAAGTAATAAATATATATAATATATATATATATATATATATATATAAAATAAATAAATGAAAGCGTGTGAAAATTGACTGAAGGGCGAAAAGGAAAAAAAGCGAAAGGTGAATTTCTTCAAATAACTTCAAAGCGCTCAAAAACAAAAGTGTGTCGATGGGTAGCAAGATTGAATCGGAATTAAGTTTTTCTTTTCTTTGTTTTTTGTGTTCGTATAAATTTGGGCATCGCTATGATCTTCAAATCTCTTACACGCGCTATGTGTAGAAGAAGAACAAGAAGCAGAAAGAGCCGACAGAAACAAAGCAAGACAGGAATTGTGTATTTGTGCGGAAATTGGTCCTTCCAATGCAGCAGCGCATAAGCATAATAATGCTTAAATTGCCTTTATATTACTATTGTTTTATTTTTTTTACCGAACGTGTATTTGAATATTGAGAGTTTTTATTATCCTAAATTTTAGAGAGGAGTTAATGAAAGCCTATTTGTAGGAGACTTGACGATTTTTTAATCAACACTACCTTCATTTATGGCTTATTTTAATAAACTTTCAGTAATAAGGAAAATAGCCAAAACTACTGAACGTAGAGATGTTGAGGCTTGGAGGCTATGTTCTGTGCATAGCAATTATGAGGCATCCGAAAAGTGAACCTAAACTCAATCTAAACGAAATAGACTGTGTTTGGTTAAATTTGCTTGAAATTTGGTGATGATTTTTGTTTCCTTTTTTTAAGTTTTATAAACAAATTTATATGAAAATGTATATATTTTAATGAAATAAATAAAAAAAAATAATAAAAAATACACAAAGAAAAATTTGTACATAAGTATTAAGTAAACTAAAGGTCTGGTTGTTTGTATGAAATGAATATTTTTGTTATGCAGCAAATAAAAATGGTAGCAGTGACAGCTGTTTCGGAGATCACCTTATCTCCTCATCGGAATTCTTATGGCAGGGATCGAACCTACTGATCCTGTTGTTGTATTACTAAATTTATTAAAATGATTTACTTCAATATTAAATATCTTATATTTCAACTTAAACAGTTGGTCAAAGATATTATTTAAAATATTTTCTTTTTGATACTTGAAGTGAATTCTGTTTTTTTTTCAACCCTCGAAAAGATTCGAATTTTTCTGATTTCTTTGGTATTTTTTAAAAGCATATATAAGAGACCCTCATAAAAATTAAAAAAAATCGTCACTGTTTCACGAGTTCAGAATGCAGCCGCTTCAGAAAATTCATTACGACATTTGTACATTTTTTTAACACAAAAATTGTTTGTCGAAGCTTAAAAATTGGGCAAAAAAGTTCTAATATTTTTTTTAATACAAAAAAATTGTTAGTTTAAGCTTCAAAATAGTACATTAGGCTCTGAAAATTTTGTTTACCGCAATAATTTCCTTCCGTTTCAAAAAAAAAAAATTGCTGAAAGAAAGGTTTTTTTCTTGGGTCCTAAAGAAGACTACTGTCTCAAATGGTCTGGGTTTTGGCATTTACAATAAAAATTGAATACTTAATATTTTATAAAAAGAAATCTGATTGCAAAAAGTTAACGAAAATGAAGAATAAATTATGTTTCAAAAATTATTGTAAATCGATTTCTAAAAGAATCACCTCACTGCGATAACCGCAAATACTTCGAGACTCTTTTAGAATCCAAAAAAAAAAAATTTCTAAATTTTACATTTAATCCAATGGTCATCAAAGCTTATTAAATTATCAAAATGGGTGTCAGATGAAACCAGAAATTAGTTGTTCATTAGAAATTTGTTTATTTCAGTTTATACATTCCACATAAACACAAAAACTGCTTAATATTGTGGTATGAATATGAAGTTAAGGTATCGAAAAATTATAAAAATACGCAAATAATTCGTAATTGATATAAATACATTATTATTAAATAGTAAATAAAAGATTAAATATCAAATTTTGACTATTACATTATTTCCATCTATTTCAGAAAACGTGTGCAAGTTCTCTCATCAACTGAACATATTCAAAGTAAAGATAAAAGGTAATAAAATACAATTCATTAAAAATAAATATAAATAATTAAGCTAAAATAAATATATATATTAAGAAGAAATTCTGTACTTTTCTACACATAAAATTCTCCCTCAAAATTATCTTTAAACTGATAAATAATAAAAATATTAGTAAATATTATTATAATAATATCTTAGTTTAATAGGAATTTAATTATATTTTATGCAATAATAATGCACACAAACGCTTCAATTCTTAGCACAAAAGTTCCATTAATAGAAAATAACACCTTAATTGGCTATATTTATGAATGCCGGGCAACCAACAACACACAAATATAAAAATGAATACGTAATTGCATAAAAATATATAGGTAGCATATACAAATTATAACGTTTTAATTGCGGTTTGGAAATGAAACTACTTATTCCCAGCATATTTACATAAATCTGCGCGCACACACTGCGGTTAGACGTGACGTATGAGTGACATTCATTATGATTTGCATACGATAATTCGTGACTTCGTGAGTTTTTTAAGCAAATGAAAACATTCGAAGGCGTAAATGACCCATTCATTCTTCACAACAATGGATATATTTAATTAATTTTAATTAATTACAATTTTTTATATATCTCTTAGTGCAGCGCAGATGCATATTCCATGCGCATATTCTTTTTATAAATAAATTCAATAGCAATTACGGACAAAATAATTTATTGCGAATTAAGAAAGGTGAAAAAATTATTATAATTATAAAAATCACACCTAACCACTTATTTCGTTAACTATTAATTAATATAAAATAAATGCTGTATTAATATAATACCAAATCAGCTTAAACCACAAAAATTTTATGTAAATACAAATTCAAATTTATTCATGCATTTTCAAGTGTTGATTGATTGTTTGTTGAATTAATTACCATAAATTTTAAAAACTATATTCTTTTATATGAGAAAGCAAAGTAAATAATTAACAAAAAAAAATTGTGTCCAAAAGTAAAAATAAATAATAAAAAAAATTTTAAATTTTAAATTAAAATTAAGAACTAAGAATTTAAAATTAAAACTCAAATATCTAAAGTTTAAAATAAACAATTAAACATTAAAAATAAAGAATGTAAATATCGAAATTTTTAAAATTTCAAAATAAATTAAATTATTTTGGCGTCAAATATAAAATTAAAGATCTAAATTAATGTTAAAGTAGTTGCCAATTTAGCTGCCTGCATAACTCCCAAAACCTCTTCTAGGAAGACAGTGTTGTAAACATTGGGTTTTAAGCTACCTTTGTTAAACGCGTAGTCACTGATGACCCTGCTTCTTTGCCTGCCACACGTTTAGGTCCATCATAACTGACCGCATCTTAGGTTCAGCTCGATTTCTGATAAAATATTCTGAAAGCTGCATATCTTTCATAATTGTGGGACTGGACCAAATTTTCTAGAACGATGGCGTTGTTTCATAGATGTATATCAATTGGCTTAAAGTCATTAGTATTACCCACCACGCTAGTGCTTCAAATGTTGATATGGATCTAATTCCACTTCTATAAAGCCAATGCACTCTGTAAGGTCGTAAGCCACATTTTGGTGTAATACCACTCCTGCAGATGTTCCAACTGTGGAGCGCTTAACAGGCTCTGCTTTCAATATACCCTCTCTATCCAAGTTTCTTTTTTCAAGAATTATACTGGGATACTTAACAAAGTTGGAGGGTAATAGAATATTTTAACTCTTTAAGATGGTGGATAGGATTGATTAATCTGGTAAAGATGTAGATCCCCGATTTTCCCGGAGAGTTTGTCTCTCAGTTCCATTAGCCGCAATTTCGAGTGCCCTTTTTATTGCCTGCGATTGTCAGTTTGGTTGTTTATCAGAAAATAAAATGGCCTTTAAGTTTCTGCTGTAAAAAGGTTAACTAAGCGGAGACAAGATGTCAACTTGCGGAGTGCCGCGTATGATTTTGTGAATGAATTTTACCGCCTCCTACCTTACATGGAGTCCCTCTATTGATAAACATCTTGCGCAAGCAGACAATTAGGACTCGATTGATTCCCGAACGGGGAGATGAGTGCGGTAGTGTTTGCGTTGTTAAAAGCACCGTCTACATTAACAGGTACCGCAAGTTAGTATCCTCTTGTTTAAATATAAATATTTTAGTTGCCCCGACTACTTCATGAAGAGTGTTGTTCATTGATTTACTTTGGACGCGTACTGTGATTTGCTCAGTTTCTAAACTTTCCAATAGGAAAGATGTTAAGCTGATTGATCTGTGGTTTTTCAGCACATCTGTCTTTTTAGCCTGTTTCCCTAGACATAGTAAACAGCAAGCGAATTCACGCGGTGAGCACCAAGGTAAATCTTTGCTCCAATAGGTTTGACCCATTTTGCAACAGGGCAAGAACAATTCCATTGGTGCCAGCTGCTTTTAACGGTTAAATGCTTTAAAAAGTTCCTAACCACATTTCAGCGTCAAAGCAAAGTTTCACGATCCCGTTCATATAATTGAGGGAGCTGAAAACTAGTGGTGTTATGTTGTAGAGCCGAAACTTTTAAAAGTCCTTCGATACAATTTTTTTAACAACCGCCACACTGCTAATGCTTTCAAACTCTTCGCAAAAGAGGCACCATTGTGCCTGGGGTATTAAAGAATTTTCCTTTTTGAACGTCTCTCTGCAGTTCCTCCCTATATTTTTTAACTCAACTGTCATCCACGGCTTATCTAGTACAGTGTCCGCCTTGCGTAAAAGTCAAGCTTCTCCAAATACACATAAAGCTGTCTTTATCTTTCTATACTTTCCGCTTTGGAGCTCAAGTTTTCCAGTACTGAACATTTGCTAATAATCGCTTAAGGTTTGCCAAATAAGTGAAAAGTGAGTTGGTACTGGTCATGTTACGATACATCGGAAGCTCAGAGTCCTCGATGTTTATTTTAAAATCAAAGTACCTAGGCTCCAAAGGGACCTGCCGTCCTGACATTTGGTTAATCGTAGTAATATTATAAACTAGCTGTACCCTTTAATGCTTCGCTGTCGCACATACTCTTTGAATGTATGAAAAATTAGTCATGGGATATCTTTTTATCATAACTTTAGTTACAAAATACTTGTGGGAATACAATATTTTTGGTTTTACATTGGACATTGGTTCACTTCCCGGAGAGAGAAATAATCTGGCTTTTTGAATAGGCCAGTCCCGGAGAAGGAGTAGTAGTCCTACCCACCTAAGCAAAAATCAAGTAAATGAAACCATATGTAAGATTTTTTCGAATAGGTCAGTCTCTGGTCTACTTTCCAGAGAGAAGTGTAGTCTTCCTGTTAGTCTTAGTGTAAATTGAGCCAAAAACAACCACTTCCACTTCCCGAATATTTCTTGTAACCTTTCCTAGGAACCATAGAAACAATCTGATGAAATTTCAAGTCAATCGGTCGGTAACTTTTGGAGATTACTGGATTTTCAAGCAGACATAAGATTTTGTATTTAAGATTCTTTCATCTTAAACCTATTTGTTTTGGGCCTTTTGGACACGATTTAGCATGCTCAGGTATCTGTGGGAACACCGCTAGTACCTTGACTGGTCCCGGCAGCTAGTGCCCGCTGTTTGCTATGTGTGCTTCTAGTGGCACCGCAGCATTTGCCACCCCTTTTGTCAGGGCTCACCTCCCTTTTCTGGTGGGTTAATTTTTTTTGGCTTTTTTGATGAGCGTGGCACATCTGAGGGCTGCGTTGGAGCCTTCGGAATCCGTGTTGCTAATGCAGGCGAAACTTTGAAAGAATTTTCTCTTTCGTGAGTATGATATGAAGACAAATAATTTTAAACCTAAAACTTTCAAATAAAATACACTTTAAAATTGATTCGCACTCGTCACTTGTTGATTTCAATGATCCGCTAGTTGATCAGAGCATTCGCCGCCAGAGGTGCAAAGAAAACTTTGAATATTCCTCATACATTCAAGCCCAAATAAAAATTTGTTTAGAGTTTTTTATTTATTATGCACCTCCATGATAACTTACTTACACTTATAAATCTTTGTAAACTCTATCAGGAAAGGAATATATACATATATATCGTAAATAAAAATTATATAAAATACTTTCCAAGCGGTTTTACTATGCCTAAACAACTTTCATACAAATAAAATAAGTAATAACAAGAGAAAATTGCTATCGAAGTCTTCATACCTTGCATGAGAATATCAAATTCAATTCTTCGCATTCTTAGATTAATAACATTTCTTAAACAGGGTTTTCCAATAAGAGGTGTTTTATTAATATTCAAAAAAAAAAATGAAATTTTTTGATATTGGTTGTTACTTCAATGCCACGAGGAAGAAGTGACATTAATAAAGTCAAAAATTTCAGCCAAATGGCCCCCACTACAACTCTGACCGTGCCGGATACTTTTTATGAAATTGTCCATCATAAAATCGCAAAGTGGCTGCGAATTCAAACTTTAAGGTCTTAAGTCGGCGCTGGCCTATTGTTGTAGACCCTGTATTTCACGTGCTTCTTGAGGGGGAAGTCGCTATTTATTAAAGATCCCAACTAACCATAAACTTCACCCAACAGTTACACGTTGAGGATGGAAAGGCATTTCAACAGTAAATTTTGGTTTTTCTCCGAGCCCCAGATAGAACAGTTTTGCTTATTAATCTAGTCATCGAAATGGAAATGGATATCATTAACAAAGATGATCTTTCGATGAAACTCCGGATCATTTTCATACCTTTCAAGGACCCAATCAGCTTTAGTTCTTGCATTATCTAATATTTGTAAGCCTTAAGATCCAAGTCTCCATGCTAAATGCGGTGAAATGAATATTACGGTATGCCCAATTCCGAAAAACAACGAGGACAGCAGCAATATTCTCGGCTGTTCTTGAGCGACTTGGACGCGCTTTATTCTTCACATTAATAACTTCTACCAACAGCTCCATTTCTTTTGGCCATTTCTATATATTGCAGTCTGACCTGGTGCTTCACGGCAAGGGTAGGCCTCCTTCTAATTTTCCGAACCCAAGTTAG